TGTTGTGTGGGCAAGATACTCTCGGTAGCTTGCCAGGCTCTCCGAGAGAGGCGGAGGAATTGAACCCAGGTCGGCTGCGTGCAAGGCAAGCGCCCTACCCGCTGTGCTATCACTCCAGCAAATATATATATTTAATTTTATTTATTGCTTTCTGGGTGCACCCGGCGATGCACAGGGGTTACTCCTGGCTCCTAGCTCATGCACTCAGGAATCACTCCTGGTGGTGCTCAGGGAATATGGGATGCTGGGAATTGAACCCGGGTTGACTGCGTGCAAGGCAAACACCCTACCCACTGTGCTATTGCTCCAGCTCCACATACACTAATATTTTATCACTTGAGCTGAATCCTGTCCAAGAATCTGCTCATTCTAGTTCTTCATGCTTTACTGATAGCAAATGATTTCCATTTCCCAAACACCCACCACATTCCCTGTTCCTGGGTTTTGCTTCTTGCTTTGGCTTGCGTGACTCTTCCTCCCAGAATTCTCTTTATCCACTCTTTCTTACTTCTTCACTCATTTTTATGACCTAAGCCAAGTATCACCGCATCTTCCTCTTCCTCCCCACATAGGCGTTTTTCTTTGGATGTTCGTAATACCTACATCTATTGTTATGATTTAATTATTATATTTTAGAAAACTCCCAATAGAAGCAACACATCTGTACTCTTAGGAGTCTGTCCTCTTGGCTAAGTGAGAGTTTCTCTTGTGCTCCATTTGGCATCTCTGGGGCCCACCCTGGAACAGAACACTGTTAGCAGGTGGTGCCTGCAATGCTTTATAGTCAGGATTCCCACTGTGGATTGAAAGGGATTGAGAGAAATCAAGCTGCTCCCTTAGGGATAACTGAAAAAAATATATATATATAGCTGTATTTGTTGTTGCAAGTTTTCCTCTAGCAATACTGCGCCATCTTAAGAAAAACAAACAACACTAGAGAGCCAAGCAGGAGACAGACACAACAACATAACACAAAGCCTTGTTTCAAATTCCACAAGGGCCGCTCTGGTCATGACTTATGCTAGCCTTTTTCTGACTCATTTCACTTTCTCAACCCTCTCCGAAGTGCTGAGGATGCATTTCATTCATTCCCAATCATTCCATGTGGGCCTCATGCCTTCCGCCAATCCTTTCTCTACTCTTATCATCTCTCTCCTTCTTCGCTGGATGCTCTTCCATACTTTGGATGCACGTTCACCTTCCTACCAAGCAAGAACACATGATGTATCAGGCCTGATCTCAGGACCTGCTCCTCAGCCTGGCCAGGACTCCCTCTTCAACAATGACTTCTGCCCATTGGGTCTGTCAACTCTTCAGATCCTTCTATAGAGACCTTCCTGCAGTGTCAAATACTCTTTTTTGGTTATTGGAATTATTTCTCCATCTCATCCCTAGGGTACCACTGTCTTCCTCTTTCTCTGCTGATCTTCTATAAGCTACCTGCTACCTCTTCAAAGTGGTTTCCATTCTTGCACGCCTGGTTTCATCTCTCTTCACATTTGCTCCGGGCAATCTCAACCATCTGAAGGCAACATATACTTATTTCCTGAGGATTCTCTTTGTGATGTGGGACTTTCAACTGTACTTCTAAGTTACACACCTGGAGGGGCACCAACTTTGCATACAAGCTGTCATCTGCTTATGATTCTTTGTCCTACAGCCTCTCAAACTCAACACAGCCAAAATATAGCTCTTATTTCCCTCTGAATGCCACACTCCCTAGGAAGAAGAAACACTCAACTTCAAACTTAGACATTCTAGAACCTTCCATCCACTTGCCAATTGTAACCATTTTGTTAAATTTGTGTTTCTCCCACTTCTAACCATTTACTGTTCTCTCTCTCTTCCTTCCTTCCTTCTTTCCTTCCTTCCTTCCTTCCTTCCTTCCTTCCTTCCTTCCTTTCTTCCTTCCTTCCTTTCTTTCCTGCCAGCCACTGTCCCAATGATGACACAGGCCGCCTCTTTTTTTGTGTGTCATGCACTTCTGGGGAAAGCAAAGCTGAGCAAGTCCTGCCCTCTCTGCTCACCACAACTCCTGTCAACTCCACATGCATCCTCCCTCTGAGAGAGCTGGCTTTGACTCCAGCTGCCTGGATATTGGGACTCAGTTCTCCACTCTTGCACTCCTGTGGGCTCTCATCCTGTAATCTGGTTCCAATTCTTCCTCCACCTTTGTCACTTACTGCACTTTCCACTGATACTTCAGGACCTCAGGAAAGTTTGATGATCCCTGGGAAGCTTTCAGGGCTATAATTCCCTTGTGTGTTCTCTGCTATTTCTCTCATGCTTGCTCTGGAAGGCAGTGCCTTGGAGTCTTCAAAGTAACGCCTCAGAGAAGGTCTTAAAATATTTGGAATCCAAAATTTCTACCACTACTGTGTGACCTTGGCCTGGCAGCTGACATGTTTCATAATTATGTCTCCGCCTGTTAATGGTGCTGTCCACTGTCAAGGGTTAGGTAAGGAAGGTGTCTAATGACAGAAGAGTGAATAAGTGGTGGCATATGGAATACCATGCAGCCATTAGGAATGAAATCATGCAATTTGCTGCAACTTGGATGGAATGGGAGGATCGCATTTAGTGAAGTGGCTCAGAAGGGCAAGTCAAATAGTGTGGTTCACACTGAGGTATATAATAGAAGGCTATGTCTAGGGAATGGAAGGTATGAGAAATGGGCAAATCATTGGCTCTAGATTACAGACATGAAAATGCCAGGAAAGGAGAGAAATGGAGAGGGGAACTGAGAAGAGGGGACTTATCCCCTTGTGGGGAAACACAAGGACAAGAGTCAGGGCCTTGGACTCAGCTGAGGTATAGAGAGCAGTTATCTGTGTACACCACTAGGCCCAATAGTACTGTCAGCATGGTTCCCAGCATACAATAATCAAACTTTGAAATGTGTCTGACGAGGGCTCAGAGCAGGTGGTGGAAGCAAACCTGGGGTGACTTGTGGTGGGACTGGAGCAGGGACCTTTGTATCTCCAATGCTATCATCAAAACCTTATAACTCTTGGTGTTTGAATAAATTATATATATGCACAACACAATACTGTCACTGTCCTCCCATTGTTCATCGATTTGCTCGAGCGGGCCCAGTAATGTCTCCATTTGTGAGACTTCTTGTTACTGTGTTTGGCATATTGAATACTCTCAGTAGCTTTCTGGGCTCTCCAAGAGGGGCGGAGGAATCGAACCCGGCTCATCCAGGCTGGCTGCATGCAAAGCAAATGCTCTACTGCTGTGCTATTGATCCATGCCTAACACATGTGAGGGAGATCTGACTGCGACATCTGTCACCCCATTGATCGCCAGGGTTGATTCGGCTTATCTGGCTGGCTAGGCAGGTGTCCCCTTCCTCCCTCACCACTCCATGTGTGTCCCTCCTGAAGCTGCGTGCTCGGTCGAAGAGGATAGTCTTCCCCGAATAGAGATGGACCGGTCTTCAGTTGAGGGTATACGAGTAGCTGCACTCCCCTGCTAGGACCTCCAACCACAACACTATGTATATGTAAAACGAATAGTGCCTGCCAGTGAGAGATTCTGGAAAGACTGAGCTATTTTCTTATTATTATTGTGACTACCAATTTTCATCTGCGTGTTCTGAAACAGACAGAAAGCTCTTTGAGGACAAAAAACTGTGCTTTGATTTAAGTTTGTTTCCTTGGCATTTAGTAAGTACTAGAGATAATGACTAACTATAGATAGTCAATAAGCTTGATATTGACCTCCAACTTTACCTTTAACGTATGCTCTTGAGTATGACCACTCTGTCATCAAGGTTTTCTATGACGATGACAAAGGTTTCACATCAGGAGCACCCTACTCACTGGTCATGGAGTTGAGTCTCCCACTTTGACAGAAGGGCACAGAGCCGTTAATTACCAGAAATATTTTCTCTGGAAAACTCCACGTAAGTATGAATGGTAACAAAAAATCCTTGGAGACATACAGATAAATAAAATTTGAATTCCTTGTCAGAGGAACAAGTCGAAGAGAAGTAGAAACTGTGTTTAAAGTCTGACTTTTAGAATCATCTTTCCTGAGACTCCTGGGGTTGTGGTCATCTGCTTGAGGGAGAAAGTCTCGGAGAGCCCAGCAAGCTACCGAGAGTATTCCACCCGCACGGGCAGAGCCTGGCAAGTTCTCCGGAGTGTATTCAATATGCCAAAAACAGTAAGGATAACAGATCTCATTCCCCTGATCTGAAAGAGTCCTTCCTTCCCTCCCTCCCTCTCTCCCTCCCTCCCTCCCTTCCTTCCTTCCTTCCTCCCCTCCCTCTCTTTATTAAATATTTTATAGGCTATAGTATTAATATTTATATAATATTTTGTATTATATTTCATATATACAATATATAATATTGTGTATATATATTAATATTTATTAATATTGTAATAGAGCTTGGGGATGCAGGCTCATTCACAGGTTGCCAGACACAGAGGTCCAGGTCTGATTGGCATGAGGCTGGCATTGCTTAAGTGGAACCAGGACGATACCAAGTGGGGTTTGGTCAGAAGCATGTGGTGGTGGCATCCAACCTGGGGTCTCATACATGCTAGGATGCCAAACCTCCTAAGCCATCTTCCTATCTCCACAGATATTGTATTTGTGATTCTTTCTCCCCTTAATATTACACATGCAACCCTCTAAGCTCCCATCATATTCTCTTATTTCTCTTCTATAGATTACCTTATACAATGCTCTATTTTGACACTAAGCACACACAATAGAAACTTTAAACCTATATTCTTCTTTCATATTATTGATCTGATTTCTCATCTTCCATTTCTCATCTTTCTCACTATTTGGTGATCTCAATATGTGCTTGGTATCTTATGGGCAATCCTAGGACAAAGATTTGGGTCTTTCTCAAGTTTGTGAATCAACCTTCCAGAACTTTCTAAAAACAAAGAAAGCTCTTGGTATTTGAATAAGTGAGCATACATAATCAGGGCAAGGAACAGCCTGAGGCAACAAGACTTAGCAAAGGTCATACTCACATTTTAGCTCCAATTTGATGAAGTCTGTGTTCCCCAGATTTTCAAGAAAGACTCCTCTGGGGATCAGTGTTTTGAAGTAAAAAGAAATATCAGCACTGGTTTCCCCTTGGAAGGTAGAGAAGTGCAGGTAAGATGACGGGTTAGGGAAAGAGGCCGCATTCCAATAATTCCCTGTAGAAAGAACAACAACAACAAAAAAACAGTCATTGGTGACTGGATCTTGATACTAATATAAAACGATCTAATTATTGTGCTTTAGTAAATCAACAATAATAATTTCATCTCTAGAAGAAAATCTTCATTTTTAACGTTTAATTCTGAGGATTCCGTCATTGCTAAGGATTGAGATACATGAGCAGATCTGACAACGGTTGTGAAAGTTCTGCCAAAGGAAATTCTAACCCCATGTCAAAGTCAGCAGATTAGATCCAAGATGGGCCGACCATGCTAAGAACCAAGTGAACAAACTGAAACTTAACTTTATGCTGGGATCTCCTGGGAAAGGAGAGGAACTCAACTACCTGTCTGACTCAAGGGAGGTAACTTTGCTTCAACCAATCAGCCAACGCTTACAACAATTTCCTTGTTCTGGCCACTCTGTCCTGTAAAAATGTCCTTCCCCTTTCACAAATAGCTGAATAAAGGCCTTTTGGGTCAATAAATGATCTTTTAATTTTTAAAATTTTTTTTTTGCTTTTTGGGTCACACCCAGTGAGGCTCAGGAGTTGCTCCTGGCTCTGCACTAAGGAACTACCCCTGGTGGTCTTGGCGGACCATAGGGGATGCTGGGAATTGAACCTGGGTTGGCCGCGTGCAAGGCAACTGCTCTACCCGCTGTGCTATTGCTCCAGCCCCAATAAATGATCTTTTTAAAATGCTGCTTTAATACCAAACATTTATAACACATATTTTATGCATTCTGTGCTTAAGCTCAAATTTAAAATTAAATGTGTTAATATTGTCATGCCAAACTGTGAATAATTCCAGTGGCCAGGCTGAGAACTCTGCTGTTTTCTGGAGTGGGACAGGCAGCCTACCTCAACCCACCATACTTCACATGACCACGTCCACCTCCCACAGTCACTGCTATGCTGACCCATTGGCCCAGACAATAGATCCTGAAGTCCTTGGATCAAGACATGACACCTCCTAATTCCTCAATACTGAAATTCAGGTAGGAGCACACCAAATTTGATGGGAAAGTAACCTAGAAGCCAGCTACACTCAACAAACAAAACCAGTAACACAGATGGCTCAATCAGCAGCAAACATCTTAATGAATTCTTAGACAAGGGCTTAACCCTTCAATCAGATATGACAACTTATTGATTTTAATATCAGAGCTTTGTCATCTAATCAATTTTAATTCTAGAATCATATCAACAGTTTGGTTTTTTTTCTGTACTAAAATGAGTTTTAAGAAGTGCCCCTTATTTAACTAATGCTCTCTGTTTTTGCTTTTGGAGACCCATAGCGTGACACCTAGATTAGAGACTGGCAACATTCAACCAGTGAGTTGGGGCAAAGACATATGTTAAGTGTCTTCAACCAGGCAAAAACTGGTGTTGAGTGATAAAATCTACTGCTTAAAGTATTCTGAAGGTCTCCTCACGGTTTCAAGCTTGTTATTTATTTGTTAGTTTGGGGACCACATATGGCAGTGCTCAGGACTAATTCCTGGCGGTGTTTGGGAGACCCGTGTATTGCTGTGGATTGAACCTGGGCTAGCTGTGTGCAAGGCAAGTTCATTAACCCCTGTACTACCTCTCTAGCTCTTAAGCTCTTTTAAGAATAAATAAAAATTGTTGGGGCTGGAGCAACAGCACATTATTTCCCTTGCATGTGGCTGACCCAGGTTTGATTCCCAGCATCCCATATGGTCCCCCGAGCACCACCAGGAGTAATTCCTGAGTGCAGAGCCAGGAGTAACCCCTGAGCATCGCTGGGTGTGACCCAAAAAGAAAAAAAATTGCAATATCTTAGCTTCTAGTAGGAGAAAAGAGATTAGTTTCTTCTTGGAAAGAAGACTGTTACATGGTCTTGGTTAGATATTACCTGAAAAGGTAGCATCTGAACTATTGTTTACATTGCCATATCTGAGGGCTAAGCTGTCTTCTTGATTCCATATCTGGTTGAACAGATTATGAACAGACTTCAGGCACAACTTCACTTGTTACCAGAATGTGATGGTCTCTGGAGAGAAAGCCTAAATCAAACCACAAGCTGCAACCCTTTTGCCAATCAGAGCTCTAGGAGGGATGGAAGCCAAGTGCCAAGGGCCAGGGCAGTCAGCTTAGCCTAGTTGGGTGAGTGCCCACCAGAAACCCAGAAATCCGCGAGCATCCAAGTTCACGGACATGCTTCTTTCTGAAGCATCGCAATTCTGCCTCTTCGGCTGTACCTCCAGGGTGAGAATTAATTAACATTTTAAAGTTTCAATCTAATCAAGTGCATTCTTATTTTTCTGAGGTTGGTGATGTATTAACAGAAGGGCAGTTGTCTGAAATGATTCCGGGAAAAGGAAAGAGAAAGGTAAAATGTGTCAGTATTTATTTGAGGCTCTGCGCCGGTTATTCAGACAGAAGCATCCCCAGAGAGCAGAAGGGCAGTTCAATCAGTTATTCTAGTTTGACAAAATATCCCTGCAGACGGCAATTCCATTTGTTCTAATTCTGTGCTCACTAAGCAACTTCAAACTAATTGGGTCTCCTGAATAGACCCACTCACAGGGAATTTGAGCCTTGCACGAATGGTGGGTACCATTTGTCCTTCCGGAAATGTCTGGATTATTGCACGGTCTCTTTGCAATAGTCACTTGTCACAAATCTCTAAGTGGAATGATAAGGTCCAAAGCTGGCAAGCAGCCTCATAGGGGACGTCCCTTTGCACCTAGCTGGTGGCTTTGAGGCACCTTCCCAAGAAGGGCTGAAGGGAATTATGGGAGAGAGGAGACTAGAACTTCTATTTCTTTTCTTTTGGGGGGGGGATGGAGGGGATTTTGGGTGGGTCAAAAATACTGGTGCTCAGTGTTAACTTCTGGCTTTGCACTTAATGATCACTCCTGGATGGCCTTGGGGGACCATGTTCAGTAACGGAAGATCAAACCCAGGTGGGCTACATGCAAAGCAGGTGCCCTTCCCACTGTTCTATCTCTCCAACCTGTGGAAGTTCCATTTCTACTTGGGTTTTAAGGCACCGCCTTTAAGAGACCTGCCATAGTTATGCAGTCACTGTCACTGTCACTGTCCTCCCACTGTTCATTGATTTTCTTGAGCGGGCCCTGTAACATCTCCATTGTGAGACTTTGTTGTTACTGTGTTTGGCATATCGAATACGTCACCGGTAGCTTGCCAGGCTCCGCCGTGTGGGCGAGATACTCTTGGTAGCTTGCCGGGCTCTCCGAGAGGGGTGGAGGAATCGAACTCGGGTTGGCCATGTTGGCTGCGTGCAAGGCAAACGCCCTACCCGCTGTGCTATTGCTTCAGCCAGTTATGCAGTGCAATTTTTTTTTATCAGATCAGAGTACAATAATACACAGGTGGAAGTTATTAGCAGATATGATCTGTGGGAGGGGCAGAAGGGGTAAAGAGCAGGGTACCCTCTAGGAATGTCTGGATGCTGCTACTCCAGGTCTGGGTGAATATCCGATACTCATGAGTCCTGATCTCAGGGAATGTTGGTTTTGGCAAAATATCACGAGAGCTTCTCCCAGCTCACCTGAGGAGGCAACAGCTTCTCACATCATTATTTGTTTCTACGGTTCCCAAAGGACCAGAACCTCCTGAAAAGCTGGGAGAAAGCTATTTCATCTCTGCAACCTTTGGCTTCCAAACATACTAAGTATGCACTAAATAATTATTAAACCAACGGGAAAGTGAATAAATGACATCTCCCGTCCCCCCACCCAATTCCAGTCCATGTGCAAAGTTCCCATGGGGGAAAATATGCTGTTATGGTGACATGAAGATAGTGAGGATGGAAGATACTACATAAACATAAATTAAAGATAATGCTGCTTTAGCACTTCTGCATAACCAGGCATAATCTCTGGTACCACACCATAATTTCCCTTGTCCGTGACTTGATTTCTTTAATTCCCCACCGACCCCACTGAACAATGCTAGGTCTGGGCAAAACTGAGCATCTCTCAAACTCAAGGTCGTTGGAACAGCTGTGATTTGTTCTCAGTCTCAAGGTCAGTGTTTCAGAGGGCACAGTGACACTCTTAGTCAATGCTCTGTTGGCAAGAAGATGGTTACTGCATGGAAGGACTCTCTCAGAGCAGATGGCGGGGTCTACTAGCATGGACACAGAAAGGACAAGCATGAGGCAAATAACAGAAAGAAGTATCTGGAACTGCAGATGCCAAGAGAGAATCAGGGGCGAGTAGTGAGTAACCCATTCCAGACCAGGGCAGTAAGAGACAAAGGCTGGCTAGTGGCTGAGGGAGGCTAAGGGCTTTCCAAGTCAGAGAATGAGCTTGAATGAGTGAGAAGCTTGCAGACTCTGTTTTGGGTAAGGCTCATCTGAGGGGGAACCAGGGAAGAGAGCAGAGCCGGGCCAGGGAAGGACCGTTCATCCTGACTCCCAACATCCATGAATGTGAGGATACATGTAGTGGTCCAATGCATGCACTTTCTTGCACAGTCATTTTGCTTAATCCTATCAGAGGTTACTTGGTAAGGGATTCTGATACAGAAAATTCTAAGTATTTATATATATTTTTGGGGATCCACACCTCATGGTGCTCAGGGGTTACTCTTGGCTCTGCACCAGGAATTACTCCTGGTCGTGCTCAGGAACCCTCTGCCTGGGATCAATCCTCGGTCAGCCACATGCGAGGCAAGTACCCTACCTGCTGTACTAGTGCTCCAGTCTCAAAATTTCTAGGAATATTTCTATGAGCAGCATTTCATTCCAAGCCTAATGTTTATTTCTAGTATGTGTTAAGTGTGCATAGTTTAAAAGAAGTCATGTGGTGGTAGAATATAGAAAAATGCATTTAAACTCTTTCTGTTAGCTCTATGTATTTCTAAAGCAAACTTGCATAGATATTTATTTATCTGTGCACCTTAGTCTATTGACTTTCCAAAGGTAAGTAATGAATATTTTTATGAGCACATCTCCCAATTCCCTTTCCCTATAGTCTCTGAAAATACCCAAACTAAAAT